TTCCAACCCAGTTGGTTCTATGATTAAGCAGTCTTTTTTTCCCTGTCCCAGGTTGCCCAGGGAGGCTGTGGCTGCCCCAACCCTGGCAGTGTTCACAGCCAGGTTGGATGAGCCTTGAGCAACCTGCTCTGGTGGGAGGTGTCCCTGCCCAGGGCAGGGCTTGGGGCTGGGTGATCTCCAAGCTTCATCCTGGGTGATCTCCAAGCTCCATCCCAACGTCTAAAATTCTGTGATTCTATGAAGGTTTTTACATCCCTCTCGAACATCTTCCTGGTTTGTGTGAGCTGCTGTGAGGTGTGTCCATAGGAGCTCCACCCCAGGGGAAGGGTGGGAGGGGGCAAAGGTGACAATTACAGCTGGTCCTGCCTTCTAACTTGGCTGTGCAATTAAACTTCAAAGGATGTTTGTCTCTGTGTGCTGGTACAAAATAGGTGTCACTAGAGCAGTTGGGGAGGTCATTGCTATCCTTTTGTGCTGTGAACAATTAACCCAGCTGAGTTCTGTTGTGGTTCTGACATAAGAAATTAAAGAAGAGTGTTAGAGTGTTTTTATCTCCCTGCAGTTAAATTTTATTTTACACCTGGATGCAGATAATAATGGCAACACTCTCTTTTGTTAGGGTTTGAAGATGTCTAAAAAGAAGCCGAAGAAATTACCAGGAAAGGAAGAATGTTTGGATGGCCGAGATGACAAAGTAGGGACAGAAATGTTATCACTGTTGTTATTTTAATTCAAACACGAATTGTTTTGCAGTCTTGTGGTAGAAGGATGAATCAGACTCAAAGATGGGGCCACAAAGAGCAGCAGGAGGGTTGAGTTGGTTAGATAACTACCTTATGTTTTTATCCACAGGTTATGAGTTGTGTGGGAAATAAGAGGCTTTTTGATTTTTGTCTATCTTCCTGCTTGAGGAAAGTTGAACTTAACAGCAGTGGTTTTGGTACCATTTTTTTCTCAGATTGTTCTGTATCTTGGATCATGAATCCTAATTTTCTCATTAACCACAAATTGTCTTTTGCAGCAATTTGGCAAACGACTCTCAAGTCTTTCCTTTTAACCACGGAGACATAAATCAGTGGCCAGAACTCTCAGCATGCTCTGGTCCATACTTGTGTCTGGTGATGAAGCTTTCACTGAGTCCCTTGCACAGTGCAGGTGCTGCAGATCATCTCTCTGGTCACACCTGGGTGTAGCTTCCCATTCCTTTTCATAGTTTGTGACCACTGCTGGGAAGTTATTTCCTGCCAGCAGCATAATACATGGCAAAGAAATCAGTAGTTTAATAAATCCACACTTAAATTTGCTAGATTCCCCCCCCCCTTGGATTTTGCAAGGAATATTTGGAGTAAGAGAGATTTTAACTGTCTTGTCTTGGAAGTGTTGACAAATGAGTGTGATTTCATGGCCTTACAGACTTGGTTGTTCGTGTTAGAAACTTGTTGCTCATACAGAAAATGTAGGGTTTTTTCCTCCTTATTATTACTCAGTTTGTCTTTTACCATTAACTTATCCTAAGGTGTTTTATTGTTTTTATTTGACTTCTGTAATACAAGAGGTAAACACTTGGCTTAAAACCCAATTAGCTTATTGCCATTGCTAATGGCTGTGGCAGTTTGAGAATAGGTTTAACTGTTCCATGACTTCCACCTGTTTGGGACAGCAGGAAATAGTATGTTGTGCAGACGTTGACCAGCACAAACATCAGGGAGAAGCTAAATTATTTACAAGTGTTCTCCAGTGTGATCACAGGCCCCAAACTGACAGTGCTAGGAGAAAAATAGCAGTGAGGTGATTTGCTTAAGGTGACCAAATTTAAGTGAGAATTGAGGAATTATCAAGAGACTTTAGAGACAAGGAGGAGCTAGGTTGAAAAGAAATACTGAAAGTATCATGAAAAGCTGTGGCCTTTGTAATTGTCTGTCACTCTGGTTTTCCTGTTGCACTGCTGCCATTGATCTTGCAACTCCAGAGCCAACCACAGGCAGAAGTTCTCAAATTTGCTTTAGTTTAGGACTGCACTGTTTCTGCAAGTCTTTGGTTTGTGCATGAAGTGCTTTCAGGCATGGCACTAAACCAGCTAAGGCCTCTCCAGGTAGGCAGAGTCTCTGTAGCAGTGACCCAATGGCCTCACAGAGCCAGCACAGCCCTGGTATTGAAGGAGTGAATTATTTGCAGGAGGATATACTGTCTGGAGCTTCCTTATCTGAAGTAATCCATGTTACCATTCTCTGTGATAACTTCCTACACTCTGCTGTGGTTTGGGGAAAACTGAATTGTATGACCCCAAAGGATAAAAAACTAACTGCCTTGTGGGGCAGAGTTCATACCAGCAGAGTCTGTCCTCTTGCTGCTCTCCCTTCTCTGCCAGAGCTGCAGTCACAAACTGCTGCTGTTCTGAGCTGGGCAGAACTGCATTCCTATTGTTCCACAACGTGGCTGCAAGTGTGGTTACAGCCATTAGTGACAAAACTGCTTTGTAGACCAGGACTGCCCAAGTTTTTGTTTTGGGACTGTCTGTGCCCCTAACCAGGCCTATGTGACCACAGTTTCACACTGTTCCACAGTGGTGGTGCATCCCATGCCCCATCCCTGGCCCTGTTCTGCAATCTTGGAGGCTCCTGGTAAGCCTTGATGGAACCAGCTGAGTGGAGAAGTGTCCCATTACCACCCCAGTTGTGCTCTGAGACCCTCCCTGATCCTACCAGGATCAGTAAAGGTGGGAAAAACCAGGAGCCAAGGTGGGAAGCAAAGGCTGAGCCATTATCCCTTGTAGCCTTGGTAAACCATTGACCTGGATCACAGCCTGAGCAGAGCAGCACCACTGTGGGTTGTATCCCGAGTGGAACAATCCCATTGTTTCCCACTGTGGGAAAGAGCCCAGGAGTTAACAACCTGGGTTATGGCCAGGAGGGAAACTCAGTGATGGCCAAAGTTAATGACCTTGTGACCCTACCTACAGCCATCCTGAGCGAGGCCCTTGGAGCTCTCCTGGGCCACACTGGCTGCACATGATTAAGTGCTGCTAAACCCTTTTGGCCACTTAATCTGTGCATCCACATCCTTTGCACCCTTCTCAGTGTTTCCTTAAGCCACCAAACCATTCAGTTCCATCACTGTCTTATGAAGGGGAGTTTTTACTGCTTTTTCCTCTACAAGCCCTTGATTTATTTTTTTTTTCTTTCAGCATTCTGAAGACACAAGATCTTACAAGCACACTATGAAAGGAGAGACTGAACTTCAGAGGTAAATTCTCACTCTGTCATGAAATGGAACTACTTAAAAATATAACAACCAAAGTTCTTTAATGCTGAATTGTTTAGTTGCTGCTGTTAAAACTTACCTCTGTGATAAGAAGAAGCTCAGCTTTTTAGGGTGTCTCTCCCACTACTAGATAGTGAATGCAGAAAAAGCTTTTTCTCCATTTTTTTTTCTTAAGCTAAATAACTGCACAGTGGAGAAATGCAAATACTCCAAATGCATCCAGCTGTTTTAAAGCACATTGCTGCAAGGTCAGGTTTGAGCATACCAAACCAGTGCTCTTGAATACTTAGCTGTAACTTCCTGCAGCACATACAGATGGTATTTTTTGTTCTTCCTCACATTAACTGAGCTAAATCCCATTACTTTTTGTCATCGTGTCTCTGTAGAGCCAAACGAGAGAAACATGAGCAGGAGAAGAAGCGACACCGAAGTTCTGGTGTTTCTCATGATGCTGGTAGAAGATCCCAAGAAAAATCTCCAAAGAGAAGCAAAACCCCAGACAAGTCTTCAGGCCAAACTGAAAAGCAAAAGAAAATAGTTATCCAGTTTAAAGCCAAAGAAATTAAACATGGGAAAACCACTCGCACTCTCGATGCAGTGACTGCCAGCAAGGAAAAGAGTGGCTTTGATGGGACAGAAGGGAAAAGACTCTGGTACAGCTTTGAACTGCAGAGGGACAAGGCACTGAGGAAAAAGAGGGAGAAAGCTGAACTCTGCAAACTGAAGTTGAAAGCAGAACAGACTATGATAGAGAAGTTTAAGTCACCTGTGTGTGACATCCCCCATAAAAAGTCAGAGGGCTCGAAACAGCGGAGGGAGGATGTCAGGATTGCCAAGCAGCCCCCTGACACCTCTGCAGGGACTGTGTGTGGGGACAGGGCTGACACTGAGGACTCAGGTACATTATCCAGCGTTTGGGAAGAGGAGGATGAGGAGGAATATAAGGAGTTTTCTCGGAAAAAGCGACACGTGAGCAAACACAGGTCGTGCTCATCACCACCCTCGCCCCCCACACCACCACGGGACTCGAGGAGGAGGAAGAAACATGGCACTGCTGCTTCCAAAGCTCCTGGTCACTCAAGGACCAAGGAGAGGGACTTGGAAGACACAGCATTACGTTTTAAGCAGGTAATGATATCAGGCAGGTAGATATTTTGGAGTAGTTTCTGCCTGGCAGAGAGTTGTAAGGAGACTGACAGAATTCAGTCAGGTTTCGTAGCTAACTGGGTGGAGTTCTCTGATCCCAATGTAAACCATGTTGACATGTTCCTCTGCTCTGCTAAATAGTTAAACAGACCAGAAGAGTAAAGGTCTTGGGTGTTAGTGTGTGCACAGACTCTTTCACAGCTTCCCTTTGCTGCTGGGGGTGTGGAATACTTCAATTCAGGTATAAACCAACAGATTAATTTTTCCTGAGCTGACATGGTTGTGTTGTTTTTTGTAAATGAATAAATGGAACCAGAGAAAACTTTTGCTGCCAAAGAGGTGCTTGTTGCTGGCAGAGTGATCCAGGAGACCTTGATATGAATCCAGGGCTAAACTGATGTATTTCCTGCAGAACTTCACGTTTGGCTTTGATGGGTTCATTTCTGAGTTTCTCTCAGCCTCTCTTAGGAGATGCCCAAGTCCTTTCATCTTCTTAGTGATCTTTTGCTCATCACTCTATTATCACATCTGTTCTACTGGGAAGCTCAGAGCAAGAATAACATAGTCACAAGTCCCCAAGAAATTGGGAAAAATAAGCTTAGGGTGTAACCCACTATTATTTGTTTAAAAGAAAACCATCCTGCTAAGCCCTTTGGAAGTGATACTGTAGGTGCTTTGTCATGGATGTGGAAAATGGGCTCTGTGTTCCCTATTCAGTTTACCTGGGAATATCCACTGTTCTCTGAAAGGCTGATATGTGTTCTGTTCCTACTTGTTTCTAGAATTTTGAGGTGCCATGCACATCTGACTCCTACCAGGAAGGTGAGGTCAGAAAGGCTGTGCCTGTCCAGAAGGTGAGTGATGGACTTGTTTAACACTACAGAGTTATGTTCCAAAGCTCCTGGTGTGGGGATCACTTGTTCCTCAGCCTTCCTTGATATTTTCTGGTGTTCATAGGTTGTTTGCAATTCTTCCTACAGAACCTTGAAGACTTTCCACCTCTTCAAGACAGTCAGAACTCAGAAACAGACCAAGAGGTTGGTAATGCTTTAATTTAACAGTTGTAAGTTGCACTAAAACCCAAGGGCACTGAGGTTCTGTAACTGAACAACTCCATGACCTTTCCTAGAATTTGGCATTTTTGGCTCATGATCTGCACTTCAAAAATGTGGAGCATTTGTTTCAGAAACTAAGCAAACTTGTTGAAGTGCTGCTAATCAGGAATTGGTGAGATAAAGGTTGTCCTTCTGTCACTGTTCTCCCAGGCAGCCAGCAGCAGGACAAGAGGGCACAGACTCAAGCTCTGCCAGGGGAGGGTTAGGTTGGCTATTAGGAAGAGATTTTTTAGGGAGAGAGTGCTCAGGCATTGGAATGTGCTGCCCAGGGAGGTGGTGGATTCCCCATCCCTGGAGGTTTTCAAGCTGAGACTGGATGTGGCACTTAGTGCCATGGGCTAGTGACCACGGGAGGGTTGGACTTGGTGATCTTGGAGCTCTTTTCCAACCTGGTTGATTCTGTGATTCACAGTTGCTCACATGCTCCAGGTATCTCCTTTTCCATCCTCTAACTTTAAGTTGGAAGAGATGCTTTTTTTTTTTTTGGAAGTGCTTGTCAGGAAACTTGCAGTTTATGCAGCAAAAAATGGAACAAAGTTTTTTGGGTACTATGTAGAAAGGTCATCAATCTTTCTGAGTTTGGATGTCTTTAATGGAGGATGTGATTTCTCAGGGCTTTACATTTCCTGCACTGCCTCAAAATTTTTCAGACCTAGTTTTGAGCCAATTTTAACAGCACTAGTGCAAAAGTGTGTTTCTGGGGAGCAATCCCTAGGTGATTCCTTCAGTGGCTGCACATGTGCACATTTTCCCACTACAGATGCAGATAGTTGAGGACTTGCACGTGGCTCGTGTGGAGAAGAGGATGGCACTGTCTGTAGTACAGACTTGTGGAGAACTCACCAGTATGGAAATTGATCTCCCAGAACAGAATTTAAATACTTCTGCTGGTATGTCATGATCTGATGCTCTTTGCTATCTGCTTACAACTGCTGGTTGCAGTTGGCTAATGGGCTGAGTAGGGATTACACAACTGATTATTTCACTGCTGTTTTGTTTGCCCTTTTTTCTCTTTCCCCAGAGGCTTTTACTTCTGGTCTGAACATACTAGTGGTGATTGACACAAACATAATGATTAGTCACCTGGAGTTTGTTAGATCCCTGAAATCTGAGGATATTCCAGGTATGTGAATACATGCTGTTCAATAATATGCTGTAAGAAAAAACAGATGTTAGAACTTCAGTCTCCCTGAGGAAATCCAAGCCTGGGCTCCTTATAAAAAGGCAGCATGAAGCAGGAGAACCTGGTTCAAGGAACCCAAACAAGCTCCTCTTAGGGAGAGTTCAGCTATGGAAGTAGAATCCACTGTGCTTATACCGATGTACCTGCAGAAACTCATGGTAGATATTCCTAGGAATGTGCATAAAATCTTAGAGGTAACTGAGCCTTACTGTGTCTGAAGACACTTATGAATGGAGATGGTTTGCAGCAGGCCATGTCAAAATGAGTATAAAAGTGAGCAGGAGCAGTTCTCCCATGGGAATGGAGTGAGAAGGGAGTCAGCAGCATTAGGACCATGTGTGTCAGTTCTTGGTAGGCTTATTTGGACTCTCTCAGAATGCTCTGGGTGCTTTGTTGCTTTTAGCTAATGAATACACTTATTCCAACCACCTGGAATGACTTTGGTCAGGGCCTGGGTAATTCTCAGGAGTGTGTCAGGCTGTGTTTCTATTCCCAGGTCAGGAATGGTGTTGCCTTGTGTACAGTGGGATACCTTTTAGAATACTGCAGCTCCCAGTTTCTGATCCTCTCCAGACCCATCATGTTTACCAGGCTGCTGATTCCTGACCTGTTTCTTACAAAGCTGATGCTTATTAATGTATTTTGTCAGAAATTCCATTCTCAGTGTGAATGAGAAAGAAAACTGAAGTATTTGTGGTGGGTGGACAACATTAAACTTCTGTTTTGCCATGTATCTCCTATAAATAGTTTTAAAGTTCTGGCCATACTTGCATACAAATAAACCCCTGGTCCAGTGTCCACCCTTCCTGCCCCTGGCTGAGGAATGCTGTTGGCAGTTAGCACAGCCATTGCTCTTGTTTTGGTGCCTGTTTTGGCTCAGTGCCTGGTTCATCAGGTGTGTGCAGCCTGTTTGCACCCCTTGCTGTGACACCTCACAGTGAGTGTGTGGCAAGATGATAATAGCTGCAGATGTGTTTTCTGGTACTGCCACACATTGTTGTCAGATTACTCTGTTGATTCAAATTGTTTCTTCCTTTTGTTTGCCTGAAGTTGTCATTTTCCCATGTAAGCAGTGTAGTGCCAGGTTGAGGTTAGATTCAAAAGAGGGAACTTGGCCTGTATCACTTCTTTTTTAAATGCTCTTGAGCATGAAAACTGCACAAAAAGACGAGTGGCAGAAAAGATTAGTGTGAACTTGCATCAATATGGTGTTTGGATTCAAAGTTCTCTGTAGCAGTTTGTGTGGCTCTTGAAAATACCTTTGTTCACTGGTTGTGGTTTGTTTTTCTCCTTTCAGGTGTTGACAGACTTGCCTTAATAATTCCCTGGGTTGTCCTGCAGGAGTTGGACAACCTGAAGAAGGGGAAGATGCTGCAGCACGTTCGGGACAAAGCTATCCCTGCAGTGCAGTTCATCTATAAGTGTCTCAAAAGCCAAGATTCAAAGCTGTGGGGACAGTCCATGCAGTTGGCTTCTCAAAAAATGTGTAATACATGTGCAGTCCATTTGCTGTGGGTAGTTAATCCTTGCAGTTCACCAGTGGGAGCCTTAGCACTGCACTTTGAGCTCTATGCAGTCTGCAGTTTGTTAGCCACAACGAGCTGATAGCTCAGCAGCCTTCAGAGTGTACCCACAGCTCTAGTGTGCAAATACCTTTGCTCACTGCTGGTTTGTCAGTTCTTCTTCTCTGTTGCCTTACACTTCTCTGTCCCTGTTTGGGGAATATTTAATTTACAATCAGTGCCATGAGTGCACTGGCAGCAGGACAAGAGGGCACAGACTCAAGCTCTGCCAGGGGAGAGTTAGGTTGGCTATTAGGAAGAGATTTTTTAGGGAGAGAGTGCTCAGGCATTGGAATGTGCTGCCCAGGGAGGTGGTGGATTCCCCATCCCTGGAGGTTTTCAAGCTGAGACTGGATGTGGCACTTAGTGCCATGGGCTAGTGACCACGGGAGGGTTGGACTGGATGATCTTGGAGGTCTTTTCCAACCCTGTTGATTGTGTGATTAGTTGTGTTGAGTCACTTGTGAACACTCAGCACTGTCACTGTGTTTGCAGATGGGCTGAGCGACGAGAACAATGACGATCGTGTTCTGCAGTGCTGTCTGCAGTACCAGAACCTCTTCCCTCAGGCTGTTGTCATACTCTGCACGTGAGTTCCTCTCTGAGTTTAGCTCTCATGCCAGACACACTGTTTGCAAGTCAGCTGCTCTGCAGTAAGCTCTTTGAAGAGCAGTCACCCCCTTGAAAACTAGAGCAGAAGGATGTAGTAAACCACAGAGATGGTAGATGGAATTGCCTTTGTGTGCTTGAGACCTGAAGTAGGATTAAGTTTAGTTAATATTCAATTTTAAGACTTGCTAAAGCATAGCTTTCTCAGATTTTATTCCAGTTCACATTTGAAAATGTTACTTGTCACAAAATAGGAAAAAAAAGGTATATTAATGATGAAGATCCAGTTAGATACTTTTCTGGCACCAGTTGTGTTGTTTCAGTTGACATGTGGATTTTGGGTTGCTGCTGAAAATTCTCTTTCAATCACAGTGTTGTAGGCCCATTGGTGAATTTAGGATTTCTCTGAGTAAAAAGCAAGTGTTGACTTCAGAGCTGCTGTTCATCCAGAAATCCCTTTATCAGTGGGAATCTTTGAGAAAGTACTGGGATCCAGCTTTGCATCTTTATAGTAGTTCTGCTGAGGAGAACATCAGTGTGGCACCTGGGATAAGTCTTTGGCCAATAGAACAGTAAAAAAAGAGTCTCAAAAATGAGAATTAATCATAGCAATCAGCTGAGATATTACTGTCCCAGAATTCTTGCCTTGTTTGCCTTTGAGGATCAGAGCAACTGAGCATCAGTTAGAATTTGTAGTTGTTGCTTTCTTAAAGCAAACCTGGAGCCTAAAACATTTTCCAGTGTCTCTAATTTATTTTTTTCAGAATAGTTAGTTTTCTGGTTGAATTTTTTGAACTGCTTCTAATGAAAGTTTGTGTCTGCTGAAGCTCCCAAACTTTCCAAAGACAACTCTGTCAGTGTGTAGCCTTGATGACTTTTATGTCCAACAAGTTTGTCAGTGCGTTGTTTTGATTACTCTTATGCCCACAATGAATTCTCTTTCCTTAGGGATGATAAAAATCTGTGTAATAAAGCCATTGTGAGCGAGGTCAAGGCATTCTGCAAAGCTGATCTGGTCACTGCTCTCCAGAATGTGAATGCCAACAGGCACCAGAGCTGTGGGGAGCTGCAGCAGCCAAAGCTTGGTGAGTTTGTTTGAACATCTCTGCCATGTCCAGAGTCATTTGAAAGGTGTCCTGAACCTTTTTTAGGCTTGGAAAAGGTTTTCCATTTTTCCAAAGCTGCAGTTACAGCATTAAAAAGTGATGATCTTACATTGCTGATAGATTCTATCCAGTCAGGAAGGTTTGAGTTCTTTAAGTTAAGAAGAGATGTGGAGTAAGATCACGAGTGAGTGATGCTCTGGGGAAATTTATCTGCTTGGTTAGTAGCTCCTAATTAAAAACACCCACAGTACAGGTGGGATAACTAGAGATACTTGGAGCCTAATTAGGTGTAGCCCATCTGCCTTGTAAGGTCAATACAAAGTGTAGTCTGTCTTTGTTTATGGGGACAAGTTACCTGTGTAGTGTCAGCATAAATTAGGTATAAACCTGTGGCAATAAATGCCTTTTGTATCATTGGTTTGACAGGTACAGAGTGTGAGAAGGCACAAGGAGGTGATGCTGGGTTTGCAGCACGATTCCCAAATGTGCTTCCAGACCTTGAGAAGAGCTTGGGAGAAGCTTTGTCTTGTATTTTGGAGACTGAAATGAAACTTGCATTTGGAAACCTGTGGATGGAGGTGGTTTCTTGTGTCATCTTCCTTGATATTGCAGTGTGAGGAGGTGTAAATGTCCTTTATGTTAGTGGTATCAGTACTGTGCTAAGCCAAACACAAGGCACAGGGTTCAGTGACAGAATAGCTCAGTGCTCATCTGTACCAGTTCATTTTAGTTTCAAGGTCATTCTATTTGACCAGTAGTGACTGGGCAGTGTTTTAGCAGAGTTTCTATACTGCAATGCTACTACTGTGTGAGCAATTCTCTTTATTAGTTGCATTGAAATTCTCTTCCAGCTTTTCTAGTCTGGTTAAATCACTGTGTTGTAAATACATCCTCCAGGAAATCACTCCATCCTGTTAATACTGAGCCACTTCTTCCCACCAGAACAGATGTTTTTTACACACCATATGGATAAAATTATTCACACCTAAATCATTTGCAGTGCAGGTACAGAATCACAAAAGTGTCAACAAGAACCTGCAAACACTTTCACAAGCATTTCTAATAGAAAATACTCATGTACAAGGTACTTCCAGGTTGTCCTGGCTTTAGTTTAGAGCCCATTTTGTAGCTAGTTAGGAGTTAAAATTTATTGCAGACAAACATCTGTGGCTTTAAAAAGCCCCAGAAAATCATGGGATGGTTGTTGTTCCACAAGGCACAGCTTTGCTTAGCTGTTAAGCTTTTAGGCACTGCTGATTAGCTTAGTTGATGTCTGTTAACATATTTTTCAGCTCTGGTTCCACTTGGTACTAACAAATGTCAATTTTATTGCAGTACACATATCTTACTTCTTGTATATATAGTCACAGCTAAGACAAGTGTATTTACTTTGCATTTTTAACTCTGCTAGAAAGTCAAAGTCATCCCTCCCGTTGTTCTGGCTTTTGTGCACAAGTAACACATTAGGTCCCTTTGAGATGACTCAAGAGTGTTTGGATTCTTTATTCTTTTGACGAAAGGGGAACCAAAAATCCTGACAATGACTGCACATTGCTTCTCTGTGAGCATCACTGTTTAACCCATGGTACTGCTGAGCCAAAGCTTGTCACAGAATCATAGAATCAACCAGATTGGAAAAGACCTCAAGATAGCCAAGTCCAACCCTCCCGTGGTCACTAGCCCATGGCACTAAGTGCCACATCCAGTCTCAGCTTGAAAACCTCCAGGGATGGGGAATCCACCACCTCCCTGGGCAGCACATTCCAATGCCTGAGCACTCTCTCTCCCTAAAAAATCTCTGCCTAATAGCCAACCTAACCCTCCCCTGGCAGAGCTTGAGTCTGTGCCCTCTTGTCCTGCTGCTGTTGCCTGGGAGCAGAGACCAACCCCCACCTGACTCCAACGTCCTTTCAGGGAATTGCAGAGGGTGATGAGGTCTCCCCTGAGCCTCCTCTTCTCCAGGCTGAACACCCCCAGCTCCCTCAGCCTCTCCTCATGGCACTTGTGCTCAGTCCCTTCCCCAGCCTCGTTGCTCTGCTCTGGACCTGCCCCAGCCCCTCAATGTCCCTCTTGTTTGATAGATAAACTTGTTATACGAGAATATAACCTTATTTCTGAGGAGTCACTGAAATTCAACAAGCAAACTCATGATGTTATTCCAGACTAGAGCGGTTGTGGAATGTGTAGGAATACACCTACATGACAATCAGCCACTGTGTTTATAACCTGTTCCCTTTCAGATCCTGTACCTGAAGCCACCGTGGACGTTGGCAAACCTGCTGAAGTGCTACCAGAAACACTGGGTGGCTGTTTTTGGTTACGTGGTGCCAAGGAGTTTGCTTTCAGCTGTTGAGTGTCTCTCTGAACACCTCTGTACAGGTAAGCAGCTCCAAGAACATTAGCTGGAGACTTGCAAAAAGCCTCCCTGCTCTGGTTTTAGTTATAAAGCTATGACCACGTGTGATAATGGTCACCAAAGCCTCTGAACTCTTTTGAGTAAGCAGATAATCTTTCTCCCTCCTTTGCCACCATGTTGTGTGTGACCTAATGATCTGCATTGCCAACTAAATTTTGGAGGAATAACGTGGTGGATCAGGGCAGGGAGGTTTGTTTTCAAAAGAAGCCAAAAAAAACCCCCAGCCCACAAACCATTCACTTGTTTAAAGAGGTTGGTTAGAATTTGATTTTGACAGATGTACCTGTTGCACTCCCCAGGGCAGTGGTCACAGCCCCAGCCTCTGAGCTCAGGGAGTGTTTGGCCAGTGCTCTCAGGCACGTGGTGGGATTTGGGGGTTGTCCTGTGCAGGACCAGGGGTTGGACTGATCATCCTTGTGGGCCCTTTCCAACTCAGGATAGTCTATGGTTCTGCCTCTTTTGGGATATTGCTGTTGTGCTGGATTATTTTAGCTCTGCCAGTTGATCCTCTTGCAAGATCCCAGGATCATTTTGGCAGACTTGGTTAAGAAGTGAGCAGTCTTAGCCTCACACATGTTTCTCTTGGTCCTGTTTGCTCTAAAGCTTCTGAACCATTTTCTAAGGCCTTTTATGTGCTTCAGTTAATGCAGGTACTTGAGTGTTGCGTTCGCCTGCTGAGACTGATAACTCCTAACATTTATTTCTTTTTCCCTCTCATATTAATGTCTAAATATCAGATAAACCATTTGACTCCTCAACAGTGCATATCTTGCTCCAGGAATCCAAAAACTTGCTCCATGCTTTCAGCTCAAGGTCAGACTATAACGGTGTCCTGCCCCAGGCCTATGCCCAAGTGACTAAGCTGTGCCAGACACTCACAGAGGTAAGAGGAGCTTTACTCTGAGTTCACCTAACATCAGCTTCAAGTTGTTCCATGTTCATATTACAAACCTGCAGTAGATTGCTTAATTACTCCCATAATTTCCACTAATTGTGGCAGGGAATCAAAGAATTTAAGGGATGGAATGAACCTTACAGTACAGAATAGCTGAAAGGAGTTCTTGGTGGTTTTGGAAAAAGCCAAAAGGGAAAGGAAGAAGGACAGGGAGAGCAATGACCTGTGCTTAGCTCCTGTGTGGTTGGAATCAGCCTCTTAATGCTGCTCTGAGAATCAGGTTCTGCCTGCAAACTTGTTAGGAATAAATTGTTCCCTGTGAGGTGCTGAGGCTCTGGCACAGGGTGCCCAGAGCAGCTGTGGCTGCTCCATCCCTGGGAGTGTTCCAGGCCAGGCTGGATGGGCTTGGAGCAGCCTGGGCTGGGGGGAGGTGTCCCTGCCCAGGGCAGGATCTTTAAGGTCCCTTCCAACCCAAACCATTGGGAGACACTTTGGATGCAGAGGAGTTAATCATGATGACTACAAGGGTTCAGCCTTGCTTTTTTTGAGCATTGCTTTGAAAAACCAAACCTGTAGAAGTGTGTAGAAGTTCTGGTTTTCTGAAGTTAGGAAGCAAATACATTGATTATTTGTTTGCTGAACTGTTTTATAAGGTGAGGGCAGACAGTGAGCAGGATTTATCAGAAGACATCATGGTTCTTTCAGAAAATGCCACGTGTGAAAAAATGGAAGCCACAACACCCAATCTGCAAAGCTCTGAAGCGAAACAGTTACATCCAAGCTTTCCTGTGGCTCAGGAAAACAGGCACCAGGAAATCTGGGCAGTCCTCGAAGGTGTTTGGAACACAATGAACCTGTACAGGTATGGTGTGCTGGGGGAGCTCAGAGCTGCCACATAACTTCTCATCATTTTCAAGTTAGGGTGCATTAGAAACTGCTTTTCTCCTTATGTTCTGGAGAAAATCTGTTGCTAATTAGGCTGAACACCCCCAGCTCCCTCAGCCTCTCCTCATGCCACTTGTGCTCAGTCCCTTCCCCAGCCTCGTTGCTCTGCTCTGGACCTGCTCCAGCCCCTCAATGTCCCTCCTGAGCTGAGGGCCCAGAACTGAGCACAGGATTCAAGGTGTGGCCTCAGCAGCACCGAGTGCAGGGGCAGAATCACCTCCTGGTCCTGCTGTGCTATTTCTGCACTGCCATTGATTCCATGACTGGTTTAGCTAACATGTGTTCAGTAGAGATTTATATTTAACTTTGGGTTTTGTAGCCAAAATGCAACACACACAGCAGACACTGTATTTCTCTGAATTTGGAGGGTTTTTAACTGCTTTTCAATGTCTCTTTTTGTTTCTTTTTAACATCAGCATTGAAATTTTCCAGAAGTTGGACCCCAATGCAGTAACTATGGCTGCCAAGTCTTCATTTGAGGAGGCTTTTTTGGGCCTGCAGAAGCTGTTGGCAGCTGTGAAGGACATCCGTGAAGGCATCAGCAGGTAAACATTCCAGCTGGGCAGAAAAGGGACTAACAGTCACCTCAAGTCAGAGAAGTCCCTGAAATACTTGGATACCAACCCACTGTTCTGTGTGCTTAGTTACATGAGTTTCAGCAAAGATCTTGATGTCAAGGCTGCACAGAACCATATCTTGGTAGCAAAAGAACAAAAAACTGTTGCAGGCACTGTTTTGCAGTTTGGAGCTGAGCCACTCCCCTCTGCTTGGGGTGTGACTGGAGCTGGGACATAGTTAATGCATTAGCTCTGTGGCAGGAACTTGGAATAGCTCAGGACATTTGTTTTTCAAACGTAAGGCTCACTGGAACTGGGGAAAATTTCCAGTAGCATAGTAACATTTCATATCATAGGATGTTAAGGGGTTGGGATGGAGCTCAGAGCTCACCCAGCCCCAAGCCCTGCCCTGGGCAGGGACACCTCCCAGCAGAGCAGGTTGCTCAAGGCTCATCCAACCTGGCTGTGAACACTGCCAGGGTTGGGGCAGCCACAGCTCCCTGGGCACCCTGGGACAGGGTCTCACCACCAGAACAGGGAAAACTTCTGCCTAACATCTAACTTGAATTTCCCCTCTTTCAATTTATCCCCATTGCGCCTTGTCCTGTCCCTGCATCTCCTAACACAGATCCCTCTGCAGCTTCCCTGGAGTCCCTTCAGCTCCTGCAAGGTGCTCTGAGGTCACCACATATAGTGAAGGACATCGGGGTTTGGGACTTTGCTGTTCCCTAGAGTGATCCTCATGAGTCAGAACCTATGTCACAGCAGTAACAGTGGCAATCACTTGGCCTCTTTAGGAAGGATAATATTCCCTCTGTCTTCCTCCTCCCCTCCTTACAGAATGCAGAATAGTAAAATGGAAGCTTCAGAAGGAAGAAGGAATCTCTTGTGTAGTCTTAAGTTAGTCCTTTTTTTATAGCAGTGAAGTATAAATGCACTCAAAGATTTGCTGATTTCTTCCAGAGATAAATGGTCTAATTATCAATGAAGGAAGCAGAAAAATGGGGGTAGAAATGTGAGCTCAAGCAGCTCAGTGATAACTGCTTCGTTTTCATTGCTGATCTTTTAGATCTTTTCATTCCAGCCCTGAAGTTTTTGCAAGAACTCCTGTGGTATTGGTTTATAGATGAGATTTTCTGGGAATGTGGTGCTTCAGGGTGGTGATTTCCATGTCACACAGGTGTTTCATTAAAAACGTTGTGTTTCTTTTAGTGAGAGCTTCTTACCTCCTGTATTTCCTCATATGGGAGAGCTCAGTAAACACAGAACCCCTGGAATACAGAGGATGAATCTTGGAAGGGATAATTTCCCTGGACACTCCGTGGGAATTGCTGCTCTGCTCTGCAGGTTTGCAGTAGGTGGCACCACGGAACCAAGAACTGCACCAAACTCTGCTGCTTCAGCATCAGGGTGGGGAGCTCCGGTGGTTTGAGCAGGTTTTCCAGCCAGTCAGAAGCAGATTTATGATTCGTTGTAGGTTGGATGTATTTACAATGTCAAAGCTTTCATGGAATCAGAGAAACACAGAAGGGTTAGGGTTAGAAGGGACTTTAAACCTGCTCTAATGAGAGCTGCAAGAAATAAGTCTCCAGCCTGTGTCAAATGCAGCACTCAGCAGGGAGCAGGGCAGAGGTGGTGCCTTGTTGCCTTTCAACCAGTCTATAAAGCAGAAAGGTTTAACCAAGAGTGTGGTAAAATCCACTTGAGCTTGCAAAGGCAGAGAACCCTTGTGTGGGCACATGGCAGAGTCTGATAGCTGAAGCACCTCCACAGCAGAAGAAAGCACAAACTTGGCTTTGTTGTAGGGGAAGGTGCCCTGAAGTTCCCCACAGGTTGCTGTGGAACAGAGCTCTGGCAGCCTTGGTGGTTGTAATACTATTGAGTCCCTCAGTGCAGGGGAATGAGGAGCTGTTCGTAAGAATTTGTGGAGGAAATCAACAGTGCAGACTTTGCTCTCAGCACCATCCCAGTGCTCCATGTGGAGCAATGGCTCTTCCCTGGAAACAACAACCCTCTTTTACTCCAAGCTGCTGGAAAAGCTTTGAGACCATTGTCAGACTTCTCATTCATGGTACAAACCCAGGAGCAATTGCCACAAATGCCATAAAATACCTGACTGGCTTGAACATTGTTACTTGTATGATTCTTTACACGTTTCACTTGGTTCTTCCCAAAGAACCAGAGGCACAGAGGATTGTCCACCCTCCTGAGGCCTGGTCGCTCCGTTTGCTGGTGTACCCTCCCTGGCTGGTTCCCCTGGCAGCTCTGCTGTGGCAGGGGTGGTGTTTATCCCACTCCCTTCCATGGGTCTTTGCAGGACAAACACAGGGATGGAGATATTTTCCCCCAACACGTCGTTTCGCTGCCTGAGAGGTTACTGGTGATCCCTTGGGTGCTTTGTACAGTTCTGCAGTCAGGGTATGGCAGCAAGCAGGCAGGATTTCCCCTGTGTGCCTGGAGCAGGAGGCAGAGTGGTTCCCTGGGCAGGAAGGAGCCTTTCCCAGGCTCCAGTGCCTGTGGGTGATGGATACGACTTCCAATGCCGATGGATTGTCCCAGGCAGGCCCAGGGCCCACCCTGCCTGGACACAGGCCCTGGGAATCTTTGCTGCCAGGCACTTCCAGCAGCCAAGATTCCCAGGGTTTCCAGGCAGAGCTGCCAAAGGGTCTGTGCCAGGGTTTGACACTGCCAGGGCTGGGAGCTTTCTCCCTGGGGAGCTGCTGCTGCTGCAGCTTGGCAGCTCCAAGTGCTGGAGCTTAAGGAAAACATTTTGGGTGCTCCTTAGGAAGGGGAAGAGAATGTATGGCTAAGTCTTGTGACAGTGATGATTTCTCTGCAGAATCCTGATGGACACGAGCACTGGACTAACTGGGTACGAGGCCTGTCCTGTGTCGTGGTGTCCCAACCTGCTGCACACACTTGTGTCTTTGAGGGTTAGCTTATTCTGGTGGTTTGCTGGTTTTTCAGTTCCTAATTAACTCATGTATAAAGGGGAGGGAGGGGAGAATTTGGGCCCTTTCCCATGGGAAAGTAAATAGAACTTCTCAAAAAGATACTTTAAAAATTTTTTTTTCTCCAAATCCAGTCATTATCTCCACCTTTATTTACTGCTTAAACCTGAACAGGCAGAATTTTATCAGGATTCTACGTGAAGTGTTTTAATGTTGATTCCAATTTTGCAGCCTCTAGGAAAGTTCTGCTTGTCCTGGTGAATGCAAATGAAGTTACACTGAGGTGGAACCGAATTGTGTCTGCTTAAATAGACAAGGCTCATTAATTTTGGGGGGAATGACTTAGGGGATCAGTTTTGGAGCCTTGTGGAAAAGGGTGGACACACAGGTTCTTCAGGCCACCTCTCCTCAGCTGCCTCATCCCATTGTCACCTGCCAGGACTGGGGGAATTGGTTGTTACTGGAAGCAGCAAAGCTGGGAAGTGGACTGGGGAGTTGGAGCTGCACATGGGAATGTGGAGGGAAGGAGTTAAACTGGAGCTGCTGCTGTGGCTCCCCAGGAACACAACAGGCTGTGCTGATGGGCCACAAAAGGCTTTTAATTGTTGCTGGGTTGCTTCCCTCCTGATGGAGAAATCACTCACAAAAACATGGCTCTTGGGTTTGTAACTAGGAAAAGCCTCCAGAGAAAGTCCTCACAGAGGGAATAAGCTCTGTGATTATTTCAGAGGAGCAGAAAGGAAAATTCTTCAAAGTTCATCATTTCCTTTTTGTTTAAAGAAAATCAGGGTGGTTTTTTTTTTCCCTTGAAGCAATTCTAACTATTTTTTAACTCTTCCATAGAATCCTTTTCTACTTGCTTTAAAACAAAAATCCCCAACTTTTCTCTTTCAGAATTTTGCCCCCAACCAGCAGCTTCCAAGACATTTGGCCCCTCTATAACTTCCTCAGAAGACATGAGGTATGATGTGTTTAGTGCTCTGTCAGATCCACTGCTCTTGGGCTTTACTTCAGGTACCTCTGAGGTTATCATGCTGTTTCCACTAGGAATTTGGATTCTTTGCCCTGATTTGTATTAGGTGTTGGATGTAAAGGTGTATTTTTTTGATTGGCACCCACCAAATTTACTGGGATTTGTACCAGTACTGGAGTTGTGTGTGTGGCTCACTGGTGAGAGCCTGGAAATGAAGGTTTGCAGTGGGATATTTCTCCACTTGGTACATTCCATATTTCAGGCTTACAGGAAAATATATTTGGGATTTGGGCCTGGACTTACAGAATGACTTCCCTTGATGCAGAGCTGTTGGGTAAATTGAGAGGCAGAATTCCTGCAGAGTGGTTAGACATGGAGCTCTGTCACTCCCAGGAGACACAATCCTGCCTGTTAGTTTGTAGTACTTGGTTTTTATAGCCCACAATGTCTTTTGTATGTGTTGTCTCATCTTCAGAGCCTCCCAGGTAATGCATTCACCAGGTCTGGTACAGACACAGATTTACAGCTGCACCATTCTAACGTGCTGCTTGGAGAATTGCTCTGTTAATTCCTCCTCCTTTGTTGCAGATCCATAACAGTCTGAAGTTCAGTGCTGAGGAGCTTTATGAGTGTGTTTCCCAGGAGCTCTGTCGGTAAGTGGCTGTGGCCACACACATGGGGTTTGAGGCAGCACCTTAGCATGGCACTAACCAAAGTGCCACCAGGGAAATGGTTTGGGCCCTCCTTCCTCTGCCAGGGGTTTCTGGCTCATGAAAGCTTTTGTCCTGACTTTGTGTCACTGGGGGCTGAATTCAGGCTCTGGGAGGTTTTTTAAAGGTCATCGTGGGGTTTTCATGGATCTGAAGTGGCTAGGAAAGACAGGGAAACATTTCTTTGCTGTTGTGTGGGTATGAGTTAGCTGGAAGTTGCCAGGATTGGCAGTGTGGGTCCAGCAGCTCTGTGAGGGGTTTGCAGGTTACTTCCACCTGAGCAGGTGAATTGCTCTGGAAGGCTTTGCTGGGCCTGGGTGGATTCTGATCTCCTTGATCCTCCTGACACTGGATGTGCAAGTGGCTGGGTAAGGAAGGAAAGTCCTGCAGAGAGAGAGAGAGAGATCCTGTAGAATCACAGAATCATTAAGGTTGGAAAAACCCTCTGAGATTGTCAAGTCCAACCATCAACCCAACACCACCTCTGTGTTCACCACTAACTGGATCTTCAAGTGTCACATCCACAGATCTTTTAAACACTCCCAGGGATGGTGACTCCACCACTGCCCTGGGCAGCTGTGCCAAGGCCTGACCACCCTGTCAGTGCAGAAATTTTCCCTAACATCCAGTCTAAACTTCCCCTGGTGCAGTGTGAGGCCATTTCCTCTGGTCCTGCCCCTTGTTCCCTGGGAGCAGAGCCTGACCCCACCGGGCTACAACCTCCTTTCAGACAGCTGCAGAGAGCAAAAAGGTCAGAGAATCGTAGAATCAAACGGGTTGGAAAAGACCTCCAAGATCAAGTCCAGCCTTGCTGTGGTTACCAGACCATGGCACTAAGTGCCACATCCAGTCTCAGCTTGAAAACCTCCAGGGATGGGGAATCCACCACCTCCCTGGGCAGCACATTCCAATGCCTGAGCACTCTCTCCCTAAAAAATCTCTTCCTAATCTCCAACCTAACCCTCCCCTGGCAGAGCTTGAGTCTGTGCCCTCTTGTCCTGCTGCTGTTGCCTGGGAGCAGAGACCAACCCCCACCTGACTCCAACCTCCTGTCAGGGAGTTGCAGAGGGTGATGAGGTCTCCCCTGAGCCTCCTCTTCTCCAGGCTTTCCATGTGTCAGTAGAGAGGAGTTTGAACAGTTGAAGTCTCACAAGATGATGGTCAGCACTTGTGTAGGGACACCTCCTCACTAGATCAGGTTGCTCAAGACTCATCCAGCCTGGCCTTGAACACCTCCAAGGCTGGAGCTCTGCCTGTTGCAGAGTTGTGTGTTGGCTGTTTTAGGGAAGGAGCTCGTGTGAAGTCCTTGGGTTCGGCAGCTTTAGAGCAAAAGTCACTGCTGCTTGTTGAGTTTCATGGCAATTTCCTTTCTGAAAATTCTGCTCTGAAAGGCATATTTGGAAGGATTCCCGTCCGTGAGATGGGCCCACTGTGTCCAGTAACCTGTGTTCTCTTCCCCAGGGAGAGGCTGGAGGGGGGGGGCTGCCAGCTGGCGCAGCTGGAGCTGACCCTGGAGCGCTGCCGCGCGTCCGCGCAGGGCGAGGCCGAGAGCAGGGGGTGGCTGTGACCCCGGGCTGAGCTGGGTCCCCTGCCCTCACCTCCCACCTCAGCTCTGACCCTCGGGGCACCACAGGCTGGAGGAGCCAACATCTGCCTTCTCTTCACGGGGCTGGTTTGTGTTTGCGTTGAAGGAAAAAAAAGCTTGTTCCACATGGATGTTAAAGGTCAGAATTTCTGTTGAGAATCACCTGCTGATGGAACTTTCTGTCCCAAGTGAGTTCCCTGGCTGGGTATGGATGGGTGTCACCAGGAAACCCGTGGCTGGTTTGGGGGGCAGCAGGTGTGCTGGGCTGTTTGTGTCAGGAGCTGAGTGTTAATGGGAAAACCCAGAGGTGTTTTGTGGGGAGTTTGGAAGTGACAAGGGGGAAAGAAGAATCTGCTGTGTCCTGTGGAGGGCAGAAAGCAGCTGAGTGCAGTGCTGGGCAGGAAGGACACAGTGTTGTGTGTCCTGTGTGGCAAACTGTAAGGCAGAGAGGCTGGAGAACAGAGCAAGGAACAGTGATGCCCTAAAAATAGAGACAAACCAACTCCACCCTCCTACAGGAGTGTTTGTCCCAGAGCCCTTTGCAGAGGAAAGGGATGTTTTTCCTTTGTTAAATGCCTAACCTTTCTACAGTGGCAACCTGCTCCTTAGGGAGCTCCTCATTCATCTCCAGGTGACATCTCTCTCACTGCACTCTTGGTTCTTTCCACAACTGCTTTCAGTCAGTCCCTGAAACTTCCCCAAAGCTGTTTCAAACGCCTTTAACGCTACCTCTTCCGTGTATGTATTTGTACAGAGATGACATGACTGGCAGAGTTCTGAACTATTTTGATATTAACTTTTGGATGTATTTGTAAAATGTTGATTGTACAAATGTAATTTATTGTTACATTAAACAGCAGTTGATTCTGGCGTGGCTCAGGCACTGTGGATGTAACACAGCGCTGTCCCAGGACCTGGACTCACAGCCCAGGAGGATCAGGTAGAGATGGTGGTCACTGCTGGCACAGAAGTGGTGTGAAGGGCTGTCTACATGCAGGTTATCCCCCCACAGGGCTGGGCTGAGGGTGTTAGCTCACATGTGCTTCTGTTGGTCTGTATGTCCTTGGAGCTCCCTTGGCCCAAGGCTGTGGCTGCCCCAACCCTGGCAGTGTTCACAGCCAGGTTGGATGAGCCTTGAGCAACCTGCTCTGCTGGGAGGTGTCCCTGCCCAGGGCAGGGCTTGGGGCTGGATCATCTCTAAGCTCCATCCCAACCCCTAAAATTCTATGATTCTATGAGCTGAACCACTTGAGCACATGCTGTGTCTCCTCACATTACTCTGGGTAAGATGGGTAAGATAAGTGGAACACCACTACTTTGTTCCTCACTCTCCTGGCTGTCCCAGCCCTACAGCTTGGAATGCTCAGTGCCTTCCCTTGCCCAGAGCAGAGCTGGGGCAGCCTGTTCTGCCCTGCTGCACGTGAGCTGGCACTGGTGCCATCCCTGCTGTGCCTTCACCCCGTTACCTCGAGAGCCACGAGGGAAGGAGCAGATCAGGTTGCTCCCCCCAGGCCTGGGTGCCTCTTTGCCCTGTGGTGTGCTGTATTTCCTTCTGAGCTCCCTCTGGGGCAGCAGAGCAATCTGCAGGGAGCTCTGTGTAAGCTGAGCCCGTGAGCAGGTCCATGGCCCAGCAGCAGGTCCTGGCTGGATGCTCCAGCCCCGTGCCCTCCAGCAGTGACCTGACACTGCAGGCAGGAGGGATATGTGACACTGCTGCTTCTCCTCCAGGGGCTTCAGTTAACCCTCCCCACACCCCTCTGAAATAAACATCCCCAGTCTGTCTGTGAGGCTGAAAGGAAAGGACACACAGAGGTCAGGGCACGCCTGCCGTGCGAGGGTTTCCCAAAGGTACCTTTAATGTGTTTGCAGCAGCAGAAGCAGTCAGTTCTAGTTTTGGCACCCAGAGTTAGATGTGCAGCACTACACATTAGACACCAAATCATCCTAACCCAACGTTTGAGCCATAGGAATAGAGAAAGTGAACTAAAACAGTACTATGAGCACATAGGAGATCCAGTTGTCGGTGTTCTATCACACTTGCAGCTTGTAATATTAGAAAAATAAAGACAGTTACTACCCCAGATGAACAGATTTTCACTGCCAGCTGGCAAGAGTAAAAACCACGAGAAAGAACCCCCTCCCCAAGTTGTTGTACAAAGGTTAGCTCAGCCCTAGTAACAAAACTGCTGTTCCCCTCAGGGGCCAGTGTGGTTCTCCCAGCCTAGAAAGCCTCAGCTGTGCCACACAGATCCTGTGCAGCCCTAGGGAAGGTGGTGCAGACTAACTCACTAGTGCAGCAGAGGCAGAAGCTCAGAAGCTGAAGAACAGGGGTGAAGCTGCTGTCCCACTCGGTCTCTCTGAGCTCCAAGGTTGTCTCTTGGCTTCAGCAACCATTTATCTGCCACTTGCACATCAACAGACAAAATACTCTGCTGAGTATATAAAAACTGTTATAAAAAGGCAATCGTAAAAGATAAGGTATTAGCAGAGGCAATAATAAAAAAAATAGCCGTTGTCTCTATTTAAATAAGGCTTCTTGTTACAGATTGTTCCAGTTACTGAAGGAAACCAAGGCCTGATAAAAAAAAACCCAACACAACTATCCCCCACGTTTTACCCTTCCTGCCCTAAGAACACACCTACAGGAAGTAATTTACTGTGCAAAGTGACAAAACCAACCCTGGGGGAAGCTCCTGAAATGATATGCCCAGTCTAGTTTCTCTTGCATTCTCTTGAAAATCTTAAAACCAAACCCCCTAAAACAAAGTTCTAAAATACACAAAAAAAGAAAAAAACCCTTCAATATTCTCTCCAAAACAAGTATGTACAGCACATTAATATGCAATATGCAAAAGCTCTGCGTTGCTCTTGGCAACGTCTCTGCCCTCCCACCCCTATCCACAGCTGTCCTCCACTGCACACAAGTACATCACTAAGCCTGTTAGTTTGAAAAGGGATTTAATGCTCTCAGAAGGTGTAGATTTTGGTGTAGGGGCTCCACTCGTTGGACTCAGGGTTGTAGACCTCGACGGTGTTGAGGAAGTCGTTGCCGTCGAAGCCGCCCACGGCGTAGATGGTGTTGGCCACGGTGGTGATGCCGGCGTTGCTGCGCGGGGTGGTCATGCTGCCCATCATCCTCCACTCGTTCCTGGCAGGGTCGTACATCTCCATGCAGCTCACGGCGTGAGAGCCGTCGAAGCCTCCGCTGACAAACAGCTTCCCTGGAAAAGGAGACGGCGATTTCGCTGCTGAGCCAGGACTGAGCCAGGAGGGAGGGACCTCAGGGGTTCTGGCAGAGTCTGCAGCCACAGGAGGGACCTGCTCTGGGACTCCTCATCGTTAGGAGCTGACAGTAAGTCGTTTCAGAGTAAGGGCACAACCAAAGTTAAACTGATGCAGCTCTAGG